TTGTTCAGCATGGGGGTGAGTAGAAAATGAAGGCTAATCATGTTTTGGGTGTACTATTCCTTTAACGTGTCTAATGACCGAAAAAGTTTTATCTGATCAATAAAAAAACTGCAAAAAATGTGTTTACAGTAAACAAACTAACATCTTAGGCCATGATATAAAGGTGGAGAGCTGGGTAGCGCTGTGGCAAGCTGTGCTCAGTAGCTAACAGGTTAGCCTCTTTTAGCTTGGTCAGTTAGCCATATTACGCTACACTATTTTTAATTTTGTTTCAATAACAACCGTTCATTTTGCACAAGTTATATAACTGTTTTATTTGTCTAAAATCTCTACAAAAGTCATTTTTGAGATGTTCCATTTGTCCTTCCTGTCCTCAGATCTTAATAAAAAGAATAAAAATAAGCTGAGACTTTTTTTTGTCATCTTGTTAAATGAGCTCAGTCTTAGAATGCTGTACTTTCTCTCAAGACCTAAAATGATTGTTTTCTACTTTTGGCTACTTTAGCTCGTCAATGAAATGTAAAAAAAAATTGCAAATATAGGTTATAATATGTTGAGACTCCAAAAGAGATGTGATTTTAAAGAAACGGGTGCAAAACAGTTTGTCTGAGTGGAGTTGCCACATGTTGACACCATAAGAAGGGACAGGGCCCCAAGAAGATCTGGTACCTACACCGAGAACAAAGAGTAGCCTTGGCAGATACCAACCCAGACTGGGAACAAGTTTGAGTATGTAGCCAGAAAGAGAACCTGCTTTAGGTTCATAAGGACCAGGTAGCCATACCTTGATGACATTCTTTAAAACTGTGCAGAGAAGAAAACAATCATAAAGTTTCTTTGGAATCACCAAAAACACATGTTGCTGTGTTTAATATTGCTCATTAAACACTTTTTTGGCACAATCAAGATGGATTCAAAATATGTGAAAAAAAATAATGGGGAAAAAAAGCAGAAACAGTGAAACCAGATCGATGTCTAGGTTTTAGTCTAACCTACCGCAGCTTAAGAACTTCTATAAAAATCTTAGACTTTTTAGACTCACCAATGATAGGAGAGGAATGAGAAATTTCCAGCATACTTTAAAGAAAACTGAAGGTCTCTTCCCTGTCATGTCCTCAATGATCTCAGAAAAACAGTCAGCACCTAATAACATTTTAAAAGGATAATCTGGTCAAATGTTACAAAAGGAATATGAGGAAAATAAAAAGGTCTTGAACAACAAAAAGGTAATTCAGGTAATTTACTGTAAATTGTAGCGTATTGATCTGTTCTTACCAATTATCCAACCCACAGCCAGACATTCACATATTGCCATAAAATTCTGGCAAACTCTGGTGGAGCCGTAAAAATCTATCAGTTGGAAGATGTAAATTCCACCCTATAGGACAAAATAAAATAAAATCAAACATTAAAAAAATATTCAAGGTAAATCGTGTTTTCTTGGTTTTGCAGGTATTGTCATGAAAAGAAATATATATATATTTACCTCAGTAACCAAAGTCAGATGTACCAGAAAACTTGATAAGCAGATAAAAAGGACAAAGATCTCATGCTTCACTGGCACACGAAACAATTTTGGAAACAAGTCGGTCACAGTGGTGATAAAACTCTCCACTATGACAAACTTGGGGGTGAAACAAAGCAAATTAAGCACTAAAAGTATAGCAGTTATTATGAATATGGTCCAGCAATCTTCATATCTTACATGTGTGTCAACTGTAAGCAGAATCAGCATCAAAAAGAAGCAGAAGCTCCAGAACTGTGGTAAAGGCATCATGGCTGCAGCCTGAGGGTAAGCAATGAAGGCCAATCCTGGACCTGAGGTTCAGACAAGTATTTTTAAGAATTTCTTGGTCTTCAAAATTCTTTTCTTCAATAATACATTTAAATACCTGACTCCACCACTGTGTCAACCGTCACACCCTGTTTCTGAGCCATGAATCCCAATACAGAGAAGACGACAAATCCAGCAACAAAACTTGTCCCACTGTTCAGCAGACAGAGCCAAAAGCAGTCTCTATGGGAAGAATTTATTTCATGATATAGCAAATGTTAGACAGGAGTTTATGTTTTCAAGTTAAAGATGCAAAGAAAATGGTGACTTACTTGTAGCAGTCATTATTATACTCATTGTAGCTTCCCAAGACATTAATTGTTCCTGCAGTTAGGCTGTAGGAGAAAAAGATTTGGGATCCTGCTTCTATCCAAACCTGAACGAAACCACCACAACAGCAACAAAATAATAATTATTTAATAAATTGTACATAATTAGTCAATTCTAAATGCTAAATAATAGGTTAGAATTATGTAAAACTGTACTCAAATTATTTAAGATATTAAAAGATTGTTATAGTTGGTTGATGTTGCATAAAAAATAACAGTAGCTAATAAGTTTTTTTTTATTTTTCCAAAGGAAAGTTAATTACCAAAAATGACTTGACAAACAACCAAACAATCATTGTGAGTGAGAGGTATAGAGACTATCAGAGACTTTGAATTCCTTTAAAACGATAGAATCGCAGTAGCTGAGAAATACAGCAGTATGTCATCTGCATAGTGGTAAAACTGAAAAACAAGTTAAGGAAGACTACATAAATTAAGCATCCCCAGCACTGAGTCATCACAGTTGTGACAGGAGAGCAATACACACCTGTAATACTAATTGCAATAATTAAGAAGTGTTGTTGTACGTTTATCAAACTGCAGTACAATAAACAATGATCCTTAAGCCTTTAATCATTACACAATAGTCACCTCCAGATTAGCCAACCGTTTCAAATCAGGAAGTAGGTAATAGTAGATCCCTTGCCATGCCCCAGGTAAGGTCAGACCCCTGATAAGTAATACCAGGAGCATCACATAGGGGAATGTGGCAGTAAAATAGGCAATCTGAAACAAAAACACAACAGTTAATGTTAAGTCTGTAGAGTTCTATGCAGCATCAAGCCCTTCATACATATGTTGCATATCAAGGACATTTTGCATAGCAAAGACACACATATATATGTATTTTATTGTTGTTATGCATTACTCGTATAGTGTTCTATCAAATTAAAAAAAACTCAACATGATTTGTGAATTTTTTTTAATTAAATTTGATTTAAGGAATTTAAGGTTTTTAACCGAGGCCCACAATTGTGGCACCTTTAATTGTTTTACTTTATTTTCACATCTAAATAAATGTACTAAAATTCAATGGTTGATATGTCAATAATGTTAATCTCAAATTACTGTGAAGAGTATTTACAAATCTTTAACTATGTCATCAATCAGAGTGCATTGGAGCAGGATATGCAAATAAAACTGAAGGTTTTACGTCTTTTATTAAGACCTTTCCAGAGGACCTGACACCTTTCCAGATGCTGAAGTAACACAACACCCAGCAGGCTAGAAGACAACCAGCGAGCTCCCATCTCACAGCACCCAGCTCCTCAATGCCTGCAGACATGCCTAATACCCGGCGTCTAAGGATGTTAAACAGAGACATGTGATCTGAAATCAACAGTTGTACAGATGGAATAAGACTCATGTGTTACTTGTGAGGTTCTGGTGCAAAACTAAATTTTTAGCATGGAAATTTGCTGCAGAATTTTCTGAAACTACTATTCTTGCAGATGTTTGTGATCTACTTATTTCATTCATTAGCAAATTAATTGAAATCTGCATAAAACAGAATAGAAAAGGAGGGATTACGAAAAAAAAGGCACAAAAATCTTCCTGTAATTATATAAATCATGTTGAAGAGGCTTTAAAAAAAGTGAATACTCACTCCCAGAACTCAGCTGCAGCAGAGGAAGAGTTGGTCTGACTTGTAGTCACATTAGGAGAAGTGGAGGTCATGATATCGATGCAGTTAGCTAGATTTTTGGAAAATCATTTTAAAATTTATATTTATTTACAATCTTTTTTGGAGTTTGTATAACTCTAAGCATTTTTTATTCTAGTAAAATCAGCAAAGTATTTTGAATCATCTTACCTGTGTTCCAGGTGTTGTTACAGCTGGCCCAGGGAAGATGGGACCTAAACGAGAACAGGAGGTAGAAGAGAGCCCAGGCTTCAATCAAAATGTAGATGAAGAAACAAAGTGAAATCATCAGCTGTCCAACTCCAATTCCTGCAAAGGAAATGCAAAGTTTTTACACAGACCGTCTATAAACAGAAAGAGTAAAGAACTGTATTCAATATTTCTGAAATGGAATATTTTTTCTTTTTTAGATGACTTTAGAGTTTTCTTATTCACCATCTCACCTTGTGCTAGAGGACAGAGTTTTGTCCAGCATGTGATAAATCCTTCCTGGGTGAACTGACCAACTGAAGTCTCAAGCAGAAACAGAGGAATCCCACAAACAACTGCTAACAGGCCGTAAGGCACCAGGAACGCACCTGTAATTCACAAACAAGAAATGTACTCGCTATGCAAAGAGAAATCAAAGTACTTCTTTTTTAAACAGACAAATCAATTAAATCAAGTTCAAACTTCTAACCTACCTCCCCCGTTTCTGTAGCAGAGGTAGGGAAACCTCCATACATTTCCCAGACCAACAATACTTCCTGCAACAACCAGAACATATTCAGCTTTACTGAACCACTGTCCTCTGTCTCCTGTGTTTCTAAGATTTTCTCTTTTCTCTCTGTGTTTGCTCTTTGGAAGATCTTTAGATTCCTCCATTTTGTTTATCTACCTTCTAAAATCTAAATTAAACTTTTATCTTCCTCACTAACTGCCTATTATTTCTATGAATGGAATGATCCACGCTCTGGAGGTGGATATACCTCTGTAATACAGGAAAAAAATGGGTTCTTAAACAAGAAGAAACTTTTTTTAAGGGGTTGGGGATAGATGCCTGAGGCATTTTTAGAGGTCAAGATTTGCATACACCCTTTATAAGCTTGATTTGAAATTATGGAAATTTTTGATTAACTGCCAGTGGTTTATACAAAAAAAAAAAAATTAGGAAAATGTAAAATAATGTTTTTCTTCACCTTTTTATAAAAAGCTGCCACTAAAGTGGTCATCTCAGCCAATTTTTATCATTTACAAAAAGATATCACAAAATAATAGAAACAAAACTATCTCCAGTATGATATCGGATATCTTTCTGTCTCCCCCTTCAACTAACAGAAACAGAAACATATTTCGTTTTTGGCAGAGGTGCGTTCAAATGTAGAAATTTGTATGTCATCATTTACATGTAAATTATATACTAAAGAAAAGCTTTGAGTACTTTCCAGGACTTATGAAAAAGAGTTTGAATGTGAGCACACATGAGGCATTTTCTTGCCTCGCTCTTGTTTGAAAGGTTTAGTCTAATTCCAAGAGGACAAACGGTTCTTGCATTTTTTTCTTCAAACATTCATAAATAAACTTCTTGGATGCCTCCTCAGCAGTTCTTATCATATAAATGTTGCAGTGTTTTTGTTTATTACTCTCTATAGGTATAGCTGTTTGTAATGTCCTGAGCTATCTCTATAGTTATGCTACTATAGGCTTAGACTTCTGGAGGACATGGGGACCCCATTTCATCATTCTGCTTCATTCTATCTCTATTCTCCCACTCTGCAGAATGTGTTAGTTCAATCTCTAAGGTTATGCTCTCTCTGCTTTTTCTCATAGTAGCTTTGCCTCGTCTGTTCCTGTTTGGCTGTGACTCCATCCTGGAGAGAAATATCAGCTGTGCTGCTTCCATCAACATCCTTGTTTATAAATGCTGGAGATCGGCCTGTTTTCCAGTGTAGTCCTGTTTCTCTGACTGTGACTGGCTGGACGTGCCCTCTATATCCTCTGACATGGGAGCTGGCTTGGAGCTCGTCTGCCTGGCTGTGTGTTTCCTGGACGGCGCCGCATTTTACAGTTGCTTTTTGTATCTCTGCTTCTGTCTCCTTGAACCCCAGTCAGCCTCAGCAGATGGCCGCTCACACTGAGCCTGGTTCTGCTTGAGGCAGACATGGGCAATGTAGAATCAACAAGTCATCTCCATGTCATGTATTTGTTCTACCCAGCCACTGAAGCAGGTGAGTCCAATCTTCACCGTGAATTAACCTGTGCAGATTGGACTCACCTGGTTAATTGGCTGGGTAGATTAAATACATGACATGGAGAGGACTTGTTGACTCCACATTGCCCATGTCTGGCTTGAGGTTTCTTCCTGTTAAAAGGGAGTTTTTCCTCTCCACTGTCGCTACAAGCATGCTTAGTGTGAGGGGTTGCATTTGAGTCAATGAGTCGATGCAATCAACTGGTTTTCCTTAGATAGAAAACTTTGAATCAATTTGACTGTATGATCTGGTTGAACTGTAAAGCGCCTTGAGATGACGTGTGTTGTGAATTGGCACTATATAAATAAACTGAATTGAATTAATGCACAACTTCTTACCACTGTTCTTATATCGTCATCGCCTTGTGGTCTTTTGATTCATCCGGGACCAGGTTGTTTGGGCGGCAGTCTCAGCAGAGGCTCCCAGACTTCTCTCTCCACAGACACCTCCTCCAGCTCTGTTGGGGAAAGCCTGAGGTGCTCCTCACCCTATCTCTAATGGGAGTGAACAGACATTAACGCATTTGCACGTTGTAATTTTCCCAAATTGACTATTCGACAATGAAAGTCGAATTTTAGTTGGTGTGTCATTCTATCATGACATCAAATTAAGTCACAGCCGCGGGGAGGTTCAACTGAAACTTACTTACAATACATCTTGCTGATAGTCTTTTTGTCATATCAGGTAGGTCTAATCCAGCTTTATTACTAACTGTAGTGGGTTTTCTACTAAGGCCATAGAATAAGCCAATAAGAGACCAATTTTCGGCTTTGCCTACAGTAATTAAGTCAATTAGTTTACAAGTTGACCTTCGGGTGAATGCCCTACCAGCCACCAGAGGTGGATAATCCAGATAAACAAAGTAAAAACCCAGCCTTATTTTCCTTCATCTTTAACTTAACTAGAACGTAACTAGAATCAGAATCAGATTTATTGCCAGGAAAGTGTGCACTTACAAGGAATTATGACCTGATGTTGATGATGCAGACAAATTCAACATTAACCAGGTGATTAGTCTGCATTGTCGAGCTTGAAATGCAAATAGTTGGAACTGATCTCAGTACAGGCCTTTTACTTTCTGGACCTGGATCTTCCAGGATCTCGTGCTTTTGGTCATGATCCAAATTTCATGACAATAGGTGAAGGTAGAAAAAATACACCCGCTGGTAAATCCGCCTACTCACTTAGCTCTTTCTTCACCATGACTGACCGCCGCATCGTTAGCCTTATAACACCAGTCATACCTATCTGTCTATCAATCCTGCGATCCATTCTCCCCTCACTCTGGATCAGGACCCCAAGATATAGTACCGGTACTTGAACTCTTTTTGAGGCAGGAACCCTCCTCCAGCCTGAAGGGGAGAAGTCACCTTTTTCTGGCTGAGGCCACAGACTTGGAGGAGCCGATTCTCATCTGGCCACCTCACATTCAGCTGCAAATTGCCCCAGTGCAATCTTTAGGTCTTGGAAGGAGGGAGCCAGCCAAACCCCCTCCAGTCCTTCGCTGTGCCTAGAAATCCTGCCCATAAAGGTTATGAACAGAACCGGTAACAGAGGGCAGCCCTGTCGGAGTCCAACCTGGAACAGGTCCGACGAACTAAGTACACAACACTGAGGAGTTTCTGAGTCAATTTAAAACTCTAAGAAAACAAATTATAACTTAATTATATGGTCTTCAGCACCTAATTGGGAATATCGTTGGGACTTGGAAGTTTATGGACGTTTATTTGCAGTCTCTTGAAAGGTATTCATCCCTTTTGAACCTCCTGAACAGCAAATTAGAACCACTAAATCTGGTGATGACCACATCTGTTCTGGTCACACCTGTTAAAGGGATTGTGGAGGATTTTCTTGAAGATCCGCCCTCTCCACTTAAAAAAAAATGCATGTGTGAGAACATGCATGAGCCCATTTCTCCTCATGCACATTCTGTTTAAAAGTTGCTGTTCTCATAGCTCCAATAATGCTTTGCTATGAGAGCTCTCTGCGCAACTAAGGCCTTTCTTTTCCTCTCGTACACTTCCTAGACACTTTTTCTCTTATAACCGTCAGTCATTTTCAAAGAACAGCAGTGAGAAAGGTGAGCTGAATGACTGTCTGAAACCGTAGCCATATCACCACAGATATATGCTGAAAGTGAGCATGCACAGAAAATGATAGCTAAATGGACAAGCACGTAGGACGCCATAACCAGAATGATTAACAATTAGGAGGACCACTTATTTAGATGATCCACCAGGAAAGAAAAGATCATCCTCTATACCTTCAATCACTAGAAGGATGGTATTATTTTAACCATTTATGGCTCCAAATTCTCTGCAGAATTGAAAAACATAAAACTGTCTACACATTTTTAAAGAAAAAACAACATACTATATACAAAGGCAAACATAAAAGTTTCTCCACAAAACTTTCCAAGTGCCAGTTTTCTCATTGCTTTTTGATGCAATAATAGTTACCACCTATTGATGGATCAAAAGCATTAAGAGTTTGCATAACTACCACAATGTGACATATTTTACATATGATAACCTAAAACCCTTTTAAATTATTTTTTGCTGTCACAGCCCTGCTATTTCCACAACTGTCAGTGTTCTGTGAATTGGTAAAAGCTTGAGTTATTGTTTTATAACCTGACCCTACTTTAAACCTCTGTACAGCTTTCTCCCTGGTCTTCATGGTGCTGTTTTTTCATGTCTGCAACAATCTTCTGAGGCCTTTACAAAACAGCTGCATTTAAACTTGGACTAAATTACATATTGATGTACTCTGTTTAGCATTAAGGTGTATTCTAAAGGTAAGGCATTGCACAGAAGTTTATTTACAGTAGGTGTAGGAGGATAAGAATTATCTGAATTTATATACAGCACATGCCCGACATTTCATATTTTCATTGGTGTTTTTTTTTTTTTTTGATGTACCTTGAAAATTATGTTCTTTTTAGTACTGGTCCATCTGATAAAATCTCAGTAAAATTGCTTGTTGTCAAATTAAATTGAAATGTCACAAACTGTAAAAAGTTTAAAGGGGTATCAATATTTTTTTGCGTAGTTGCCAATTTAAACAACAGAACATTTTCTACATTAAAAACTGTTCTGCTAATCCTACTATTAGATTGTTGTGTTACTGTGATCATAATTTTTTGAGCTCTCAGGTTTCCACCTTTCCTAAAAAGCATGTAAAAATGTATGAGTATTAAACGTTGTCCATATTTAGTAATTCTAAATGCAACATATTACTTTCAACATTTTGTGAAAAAAAAAAAATGATTCCACACTCTTAAGGATAAGGACTACAGTATATTCATCTACTTTTTTCCTTGCAGTTTTGCACTTCTAAAACCTTAAGCGACCTGAAGAGTTCTTCTACACCTCCTTTGAAAATTTTGCAAAGCAAATATTGTGTGTTCAATTTTAAAATCTATTCAAATACTGTTCAACATGAAAAAAAAGTCTTTAATAAAATTAGGTAAAATACTGGATAAAAACTCAACGTCTTTTCACACAGCAGCAACAGATGAAGTCACAGGTTTTGAAATGAGTAGAGAGAGAGGAAAAACTGAAAATCCGTTACGGGTTGGAGATAGAGGACAGTGGGCCAGTAAGACAGAATATGTTTTAGTTGTTGCAGGGAATGTAGTGGGCCTGGGCAACGTGTGGAGATTTCCCTATCTTTGCTACAAGAATGGAGGAGGTAAAAAAAAAAAAAAAAACTTTTATAGCAATGATACCAAGTATGTTTTAAAGGTAAACTGCAACGGTATAAGAGGTAGTATTGTTTTCTCCCTATGCATAGGTGCCTTTTTGGTGCCATATACCCTGCTGGCAGTGATGTGTGGCATACCTCTTTTCCTAATGGAGACTTCATTCGGCCAGTACACCCAGGAAGGATTCCTCAGCTGCTGGAGAAAACTCTGTCCATTAGCACAAGGTAAGATGTTACAGACCTAATGTATTAAATCCGTTAAACCAGAGGAATACAGGATTAAACCCAAATGTGTATGCTCTTTTTAGGAATTGGTTATGGGTTTTTAATGATGAAACTCTATGAGTTGATATATATATTGGTCCAAGTCTGGGCACTCTTCTACCTGGTTTCCTCATTCAGATCCCAACTACCCTGGGCAAGCTGTGACAATCCGTGGAACACAGGTAAGACACGTTCTTCATGCTTATAAAAACAATGCTCTAAAAACCCAAGTTAGATACATTGGCTCATTCCTTATATAGTTTTCTATTGTACTTTGGCTTTAGGATTGTTTTACATGATCACTTATTGTATTTATATTGCAACGAGTTAATTTGTATGATGATGATGATGAAATATTACCATGTAAATTAAGCAGTCCAACTACACCATGATTATTTATTAATTAAGGATTAGAAACATTGCCTGTTTTTCCCTCCATTCATGTCCAGTTAACTGTCTCGGACTTCAGTCTTTTAATTCATCTAATGTCACTGCAACTCATCACAACACCACATCTGCTGCAACGGAGTTCTGGGAGTGAGTCCAAACTACTTGCTGTTAATGAAAAACATCTAATGAAATTATTTTCATCAGAGTTAAGCTCATTTTTAAATTGGGTGTCATATATGTCAAGCTAAGTGGGGGTTTGTAGAGGACCCAAAACAGAGACAGTGGCTGAGGTGGTTTCTTGCAGATTTAATAATTAGAGTGGTGGCAACAGAAGCATAAAACCTGAAATAACCCTGTCACACCTTGACGATTTAGACCAGTGTACTCCTGATGTACAGAAAATCTTGCAAAAATGCTGGCATATGTTGGATAAGTTAGGGGTATGTTTTCTATAAGTTATGAGCATGCTAAAGCACGCTGACACACGTCGATGTGTATGCAGCGTACACTCATACATATGTTACAGGTAAGTTATCTGATCGTTGACATTCGTTAATTGCAAGTTACTCATAAGTCGTGGTGTCCAGCTTAACAAAAACCTATGAGTAATTTGTGCATAACTTATGCGTAACTTTTTAAAAACTTATCAATGCATATCAATGTATCTGACGTGTTCCAGATGACCGTTGAACGTTTTTCTAACATAGAGCTACTGTATAATGGCGTATTGACAGCGTTTTGATATCACAGGGGGTTCACAGTAAGAAACAGTCAGTACTCCTCCAGACTGCATTGCCATCATAGGGTGAGAGAGAAGGAGAGTGTGATGGATCCTCCCTGCGTTTACACCCACGTCCACGACCAACAAACTTTCTAGCAGACATGACGTTGAACCTGTTGTGACTGCAAACCTCTTTCTTTCTTTTTCTTTTTTTATTATTTATTCTTTTTTGGGGGGGGGCAAGTCGTAAACAGCAGCAAGGCTAAAACCATGATCAGACATCTTTTTATGACGGCCGGGCACCTCCAAGCGCATTGCTGCCCCCCTCAGGACACTGGCTTGTGACTTTTCATGAGCATTACGCTGCCGTACTTCATGCATATGTTAGGCTGTCGTTGAACATAAGTTCTGGACTCGTTATGAATATGCTATGTATGCACCCAAAATTGAAAAAATACACAGAGTTCAGCATATGCCAGCGTTTCAGGAGATTCTGGGACATCAGGCATGTGCTGTCTAAATCGGCAAGGTGAGACCAAACCAGGAAACATAAGAACCAGAACAAATTGGAGCACAGGGATTCAGGTGGGAATGAAGAGAATCCAGAATAACTGCAGAGGATTATATTTGGCAGACAGAACAGTGAATAGAATAATCAACTGATTGGGAGCAGGTGTGGACAGAAGTAGGTAGAAGGGATCTATGGGGGATGTACAGTACAGAGGCACTAGGGGGCAAAAGAGAGTAACCAAGAAATACAACAGGGTATAACAGAGTAAATGAACAGCACTAGAATGTTTTAAATCTTAGTTATCTGACAGACTTCAGTTCGTTGATGTTAATGATAAATCTTCCTCATGCTCCAGGGTTACCTGTGGAATACCACAGGGATCAGTGCTAGGGCCAATTTACTTTACTATACATATTGTCTCCCAATATAATTCTCCCACTTGGTAGAATTATTGGACATGGTGGTATTAAATTCCACTGTAATGCTGATGATACTCAGCCATAGCTGTCTATAAATCCAGATGAAGCTAACCCATTACATAGCTTACAGGCATGTCTTGAAGACATAAAAGCCTGGATGACTCTTAACTATCTGCTGCTGAATGCAGACAAAACAGAAGTTGTCTTTGGACCAGAGTCTTTGAAAATAAACTGATTAGTCACTTCATTTAGATGGGATTAAATTGATCTCAGAAAATAGAGTTAAAAAATTTGTTTTTTATCGATACCTTTTATTTAAATCCCATGTCAAAGAGGTTTCTAGAAATTCCTTCTTTCATCTCTGGAATATTGCCAAAATGAGAAATATCCTGTCCTGTGGTGATGCTGAGAAACTAGTCTATACACTTCTAGGCTGGACTATTGTAATACTATATTATCAGGGGGTCCACAAACTATAGTTAAAAGCCTTCAGCTGGTCGAAAATGCAGCAGCCAGAGTTCAGAGGAAAAAGTAAAAAGAGATCATTTTTCTTCCTGTTAAAAGGGAGTTTTCCTCAACATGCATGCTTGGTGTAAGGGATTGCTCTCAAGTCATCTAGTCGATGGAATCATCTGGTTGTCCTTAGAAAACTTTGAACCAATATTACTGTATGATGTGGTTGAATTGTCTCTGTAAAAGGCCTTGAGATCATGTGTTGTGAATTAGTGCTGTACTGTATAAATAAACTGAGTTGAATTATACTGTACCACTTATTAATGTTTGTGTTTCTCCACAGAAATCGCGTATTGAACCTATCTTCAGGTATTCATGATTTGGGCAGCCTGAGCTGGGAGCTTGTTTTGTGTCTTCTGGTCAGCTGGATTTTATGTTACTTCAGTATTTGGAAAGGCATCAGATCTTCTGGAAAGGTGGATCGAACTTTAAACACGACCCTCATATATATGTTGTGAGGAGAAAAAAAGTTATTGATTTTGATCTTTGTTTAGGTTGCATACTTTACAGCCACCTTTCCTTATGTGATGCTCTTCGTCCTCCTGATCAGAGGATTGACTTTGCCTGGAGCTTGGGAAGGGATTTATTTCTACCTGTATCCAGACCTTAAACGGCTGGCTAACTTTGAGGTACATTGCTCCATGGCTATAATGTGTTTCCTTACAATGTGAGCCTCCAACTTATTATACTAAGTCTGTAAGCAAATTGTATAAATCATGACCAGCTTTTGAATGAAATGGAGACAAAGCTTTTGTTTGGTCTTTGTTTTCATATTGTGTTACTTTGAGCTCTCTTTTAAAAAAA